TAAAATTTCTATGATTGGCTTTAAATGAATTAATACTCGGTAAGCATATTTGTTAAAAACCCTTTCATAGTTTTATAGTTAAAAGAAATAATGTAATTAAGGGGGCCACAATGGACCAAAAACCCCTTTGTTTGAGTGACCGGGGGAGGGTTCTTTAAGCTAAATAGTGGGAGGAACACCGTGTATGGCGTGGCTTAGTTGTTACAACTGTGCGCGTGTGTTATTCATTGAGCGGGCTTTCGCTGGTTTAAATCCCGTCGGATCGTCCATTGTAATTTTTCTTCCTTCTTCTGTTTATTTTACAATGTATTATTTTATTGATATGTTTTTCGATATTTTAAAGGGTTCTATGTAGAAAAAATATTTTTTTCCTTCGGGAAATAGCGAATAATGCGTTAAAAAATAAAACAAATCCGCTGCACACACTCTGTTCTCGCGCAGACTGAGTCAAGCGGTCACCCACCCGAAAACTGACAGCAGCCAGTGATGCTTGACTTTGGTGATCTGCTGGGAACCATGTCTTAACGATCAGTCTACTGCGGGACAGAGATCGTAAGGAAACTGCTTATAGACTTTTAAGTAACAGGTCTGATTTCAGAGAAACAAGTCACAAAAAATACCCTCATTGTATTTAGAAAGACTAGTCGTGAAATAGATCTCATATGAGTTTCAAGGCATTCAATCAAGGTGACTACCAAGAGACGAAAGTCACCATGAATAGTCATGGAGACTTTTATGGGATTTCACAAGACAGAATAACATCAAAGTTACATTATGACCTCCTTGGGACAATTCAAAACGATCCCACCTGTGACTGTGACTATTTTTGACTTTTACACTTTTTTCGAAGGTTTTTAGCAAAAAAGCTACTTTTTTGTTTTCTGCAGAAAAGATGAAGAAAACACATGATGTGAAGGAAACACAAATGTTCCAAATACCCTATGATTTTTTGCAGATTTTTGTAGCTGTATATCCATGATATATACGTATGCTGAAATATTGGACACTTATTTATGTATCACAAAATTTTATTTTTTAAATTTATATACCTTTTGAACTACACCTTTTCAACAATTAGTTTTCTCTATTTTTGTATCCTTGTCATTCGGTTTAGCGCAAATAATACATCAGCAATACGATCCCACCTGACGTATTAATTTTAGAAATGCGTATTAATTTTACTAAAAAGGTATTTCAGATACATAAAAGGATGAAAAAAAAAATAATTTTTATACTCATCAAATTCATTATAACTTCTGTACTTTTAGTCTCATCGATTTGATTTTAATGTCATTCGTTTCAGCGTAAAAATACACAGAAAACAATACATTGTCTGACTTGGTTTAAGTTTTTCTCATAATGATTTGCCTAGATTTATGTTTCTCTCAGTAAATTTGAAATGTTTGCTAATGTTTATCTCGGGGTGACACACTTTAGGTTTCTATATCCAAGATTCAGACTATTTCGTTATTTTAACTTAAAAAGCAAAAAGGTATACCCTATGTGACACAAGTAAAAACCACCCCATTTTAAAAAGAGTTATATTCAGATGCCATGGCTTGAGATTCGAATACTACACCAAATTTTTAGTAAACTAAACAAGTCTAACTGGCATCAGTGAGCTATCATAACAAAGGACCAGGGTTAGAAATCTCAGTGCGGACCTAAATCTCAACCAATTTCAGATCAATGATAACCGATGGTCTGGAAAGTAGGTACTTTATTTACGTTGCACTAGAGCTCCACGATGGGTTATTGGTGATGGTCTGGAAAATACCCCTGAAGATGATCACTTTTTTGATCCTCTGTAGAAGGGATGGTTTCTCCGCTTTGGAAGCCAAACGACCTGAAGTCATGTACTTTACGGCAGAACAGGTTAACGAGGACAGATATCACGCACACTCAGTCCCTACGCAGACTGATCAAAGTGGGCACCCACCCGCTTACTGAATACAGCCAGTGATGCTAGACGTCAGTGTTCTACAGGGAACCGTGTCTTTACGATCATTCCACTGCGACATTGTCTGGGAAGTAAATTTTTATTGATTGATTTATTGGTAGACATACATATGCAGGCTTGTGTGTCCAATTAAATAAGTACGACCCGTAAGCCTTTGTTATTTAGAAGAGCAGATGGCCAGTTTAGAATAAAACAAAAACGAAAATACATCCGGCGGGATTCGAACTTGTTCTGTCTGACTGGAACTTGACTGGGTGATAGGATTCAGGACAAGCAAGTTCGCTGCCGGAGGGAGGGGTCCTGAGTTCGAATCCCAGGGACGTACATTCATTCAAAAAAATGTCTTTCTTTTTTCTTTCGTTTATTTTACATTATATTATTTTTTAATGTGTTTTTCGATATTCTGGAGGGTTCCGCATGTTGGAAATAATTTTTTTACAGGGAAAATGGGAAAAATTCAGGAAAATCAGTTTATTTGCTCTTTTTCGACTCCTCTTGCAACATTTTGGCTAAACAAGCATGCATGGGGTGTTCTATGTGTAAAATCCAGCAAAGAAAGCGTAATGGAATTATAAAAAAAAATATAAAAAATGAAATGGCGCGAGTAAGGTTCAAATTTCGAGACCCCCTAGCTCCCTTTAATATCAAGGTATAATTTTCAAACTCGAAACCTTAGTAGGGGTCTATGGTCCAAACATGGCTGAAGAAGAAAATTTTTATAGGGCACATAAGGGGTCTCAGTGGGCCCCTAAAGGTATATTGCGAAGCTGGGCGGAGAGAGCTTTTGAAGTGAAACTGTGTCAAGCTTCACGTATAACCGTGGACTATATAGATCTCATAGGGGATACACAATGTGGCCCTGTAGTTTACTATGTATGTATATCTAAAATAGTCTTCTGAAAAGCTTTAAAACGAGGAAATTCGTCTTCTAAAGAGCTTTAAAAAATTCGAAGTCATTTTTCAATATTAACTAACGCAAAGCCCGATATCAGACCTTAATATTGACCCATAATATTTTAATTGGACCACGCGTTATATTACCGGGTAATAGTGCACCCTTCCAGAGGAAATAATTACAAACTTCATAGGGGGTACACAATGTGGCCCTGTAGTTTACTATGTACGCATATCTAAAATAGTGCGTTCGATAGCTTTAAAATGAGGAAATTCGTCTTCTAAAAACCTTTAAAACGAGGCGATTCGAAGTCATTTTTCAGTATTAACGCAATGCCCGATATCAGACCTTAATATTGACCCATAATATTTGAATTGGACCACGTGTTATATTACCGGGTAATAGTGTACCCTACCAGAGGAAATAATTATAGACCTCATAGGGGGTGCACAATGTGGCCCTGTAGTTTACTTTGTAAGCATATCTAAAATAGTGTGTTGAATAGCGTTTAAATGAAGAAATTCGAAGTCAATTATTTGTATAAAAATATGGTTCTATATCTCCCTCTAATACTTACCTATAATATTCAAATTGGACCACTTATTATATTACCGAGTAATAGTGTACCCTACCAGAGGAAATAATTTTAGACTTCATAGGGGGTACGCAATGTGACCCTGAAGTTTACCATTTATGTATATCTTAAATAGTCTTCTGAAAAGCTTTAAAATGAGGAAATTCGTCTTCTAAAGAGCTTTAAAAATTCGAAGTCATTTTTTAATATTAACTAACGATATCAGACCTTAATGTTGACCCATAATATTTTAATTGGTCCACCTATTATATTACCAGAGGAAATAATTGTAGACCTCATATGGGGTACACAATGTAGCCCTGTAGTACGCATATCTGAAATAGTGCGTTCGATCGCTTCAAAATGAGGAAATTCGTCTTCTTAAAACCTTTAAACAGTTTTCTTGAAACAAAAAGCGTGATGCGTCTCACGCTACGTGTATGATCAGAATCTAAGTTTCAATTAAAAATGATGTATAGATTACGGATAATAAATAATTTGTATAGGATTTTCAGCACTTTAAAAATAATGCTCATTTTAACACAATGTGTGAATTTTATTAAAATTTTGCCATGAAACAAGTAAGCTTATTTTCTTTTCATATTTGTTTGATAAATTTATTATTAATTTTATTAGTCTCACTGTCAAGCTATGTAACTACACTATTTTTCAAATGCGTTTATTAGCTTAATATTTTAAAAACTTACGGAGATGGTTGTCTGTTCAATAGAAAACAATAATGCAGTTAACTGAATTTTATACGATAGGTAAATAATACAAGTACTTTATTTTGATTAGTATGTTGCAAGTGCTTTTAATGTATGATGCATGAAATTAAACAGATATTTCTTTGAATAATTAAAATTGAGAAAAATAATTTTAAAAAATATTCACATTTCTCACAGTTTCGTTCTTAGATTATTAGATTTCTATTATTAGAATCAAAGTCACAGATATTAAACTATACTGCTATTACGTCATGAGCAACAGGGCCTGATTTATAAATGAGGGGCCCTAGGCACAGAGCTGTCAGAGGCCCGGTGGTCGCTACTTTAAACTAAATTTATCCCGTTGTTTGATTATGAAGTGTTTTTAAATTATTTATAACACAAGTGAATTGTGATGTATTAGTAAATTTGAGCTTATATTTATATCAATATTTGTTAACTTATAACTAACTCTAATAGACATTCCTTAAGAGAAAAACACAAAATAAAAATAAATAAATAAATAAAAAAATTTAATATTTAGGGGTCTTAGACTTGAGCCTCTCAGGCCTTGTGATAAATCAGGGACTAATGGCTATGCAGGGGTCCGATTTTTAAAGACGAAATTAAAATACATAATTACAATAGTTCTCTCTATAAGAACAAAAAGTTCTTATATTTGCAAAAACATTAATTATTTTTCTTGTTTTTAACTGATGAGTTTAAATCAATTGGAACATAAATATTGTCTGAAATACTGATGAAGATGTATACCTGCCCCCCTTCTCCAACGACCTTAAAACTTCGTAAACATTTAGAAGGAGGAAATAAAGCCAAGGCACGTGTGAGAAACGAAATTTGTCGCAAAATTGGTGCAGACGCCCGCCAACACGCGCCATCTCTCCTCCTACATGCAGTGACGTCACTTTCGGCCAATAACGTAATCCGGCACGTTTAGTATTCTATCGCTCGTGTTTATTTACGTCGTACAAGAGCTGCAAAGTTGTCACTGAGAGGTATAATGCTTATTTGTATAAAGTATTTAATATGATATAGTTTAAAAAACATTCGTTTTAATTTTTCTCCTTAGCAATGTTTGTTAACTGTTAGATTAGTATATCTAATTTCATCGCAAGTTTATTTTATTTTAATTCATATGAATACCTTTGTTNGCATGCGGCCCTTCATTGGTCAATCTGCTATGCATGTGGCCCTTCACTGAAAAAGGTTGTGCACCCCTATCTTAGGATAATTATTCTTCATTTTAAAATGCATCTTTCGCTTTATTAAAAGAACGCATTACGTTTTTCCTTCAAAATATTTTTTACTATTTTTCTAATTATATTATGTTTCTATATATGTATGGTATAGCAGTCATATATCCTATGTATGGTATAACTGATGTAAAAATATTGATTGGTAATATATATGGGTGATACTCACAAAATACGACAATTAACAGTCTTTTGCTCCAAGATTTAATTCTATTCTACGAAAAGAACCTTTTTTTTTAATAATTGATAAATAACATCGCTGTTAGCGATGTTATTTATCAATTATTAAATTGTCATGTTTCCAAAGAATCACCCATATTTATGTGTGTATTATATATATATATAACCATGAAAACATTTTTTCAGCGTCATGATATCATAATAACAATATTTTAATCTGTACATAGATTGAAATATTATTATGATATCATGATGCTATAAAAATACTGATATTCCATTACTTAATATCCTGGTCTAGTGTGCCATATGTTATTTTTGCCTAGTAATTTGTTTGACTAGAAACTAGTAATATTTGGAACTTTACGTTTTTTTAAAAAGGTATTTCTAGTGGATTTATTATTTTAACAATAATTTCTTCTCTTTGATGTAATAAATAATATTAATTAATCGCCTGATTTTTTTGGACCAAATATTTATTTTTTTATTACCTTCTATAGGTTGCTGCCAGGGACTAATATAGGGGATAAGGACATTAAACTTTTCCCGGGGGTTTTTAGAAAAGCAACACGCTTTTGACAGATCGGTTTTACGCACAAAAAGTGGCATTCGCGTCGTCCTAGGGATTATTTTCTGATATCCCCGCCGTACCTTAGCATTGCGCGTAATCAGTGTTGATCATTAAAAAGCAATTTAATTTAAATTCTAAAATTTTTTCATTTCCGTAAACCAGTATATTATTTTGTATATTGCTTAAAGATGTCTATTCATTACTCATAATTTATTTGTTTGTTTATTGAAGCTTTAAAAGCAGAGATCATTCAGATTACGAGCAATTCTATACTATAGTTTCGGTTTTGTTTAGTTTCGGTTTTCAGAACTTAGGTTAATTAAAACCGAAGGAAGGATATTTGCTTATTCAACCATAGTTATTAGTTTGCAGCGTCTGGTTCTATTATAACTGAAGTATAGATGCTTATATTAGCATTTTTTTGTATTTAAGAATATGATTTAATAGAACGAGTTCAAAACTAATACCCTTTGAATTTTATAAGTTTACTATTATTGTTTTAAAATCGCTATAATTAAAAATGCACATTAATGACACATTTTTTTAAACAAAATATAAGCCATGCAACCGAAAATTTTGTAAATTTTCCGATGAGAATTAAAAATAAAAATCTTTTTCATGAAAATAATTATTCGTAGTATTTATTATGAACTCGATTGTATTATCTATTAATTTCCGATCTTTATTAATGCCTTTGCACAAATAATTATTCAAATTATTATAATATATATATATATATATCAGTATCAAAATCTCCCAATTCATTACTTAATGTCCGCGTAAGACTATGTACCTTGCTAATTAATTGCCCACAATCAAATGCTCTTCATTTTGTTTTGATTTACAAGGAATATAGATAAAATAATTCATAATTTATGTAAATATTTAAACATTGCTGCCTTTATGAATGTTTTTTTTAAGAAAACAATCATATTTTGCGTTACACGTAAAGGGAAACCACGAAAATATCTTTCAGATTGCTTGACGCTTAAGGAGTTCCAGCGAAATGCTCAGTAATCGTAATGAATTTTTTTT